TTCACAGATGGACAATAATACACAACAACTCACCAAATTGAACCAGTACACTATACTCTCCTTAGGAATAAACCATGCGGGATTCTCCCGCTGACCTGCTAGGTTTGTAACCTGGTAGTGGATACCGTCTGTTGTACCTACATATTGTCTCACCACGTCACTTTTCAGGGATTTTGGGCCTTCACTCAATTTCGTAAAATGGTGATGTGCCAGTGAGCCGGAGTCTTGCCGTACCCTGAGGGGAAGAGGTAGTCCTAAGACCTTTTATCGAGGGGCTTTATGTCCAGCACCAACTGGTGTTGCAGTTCTCTGCCTGAGTACATAAACATAGAAATGCTGTAATATGTAGTCGTGACTCACTAGAAAACTGTCTCAACGCCAACTTTTTTGCTACCAACAATTGTTCACCGGAATGTCTTCAGCAGCTCCGGCTCCTGCAAAACAGAGGTTAGATGGGCCTTGTCATGTATCCTAATGCTACGGTTTTTTGAGTTGTCCATGTTATTATAGCGCTATTTTTAAGGTGCCAGTGAAGATAGCGGCATAACGTTTTATTTCTTGTTTTCACTTCTTTAAAAAACGGCAACTCTACACAGACCCATCAAGCTGGGTCGACAGGTTGCCCCAAGCACCGTAATCAATCTCGATGACCTACGCGGTTCGGACTTTTACGTTCTCCAGACTTGGCTGTCACTTCGAGGTTCTGGCTTTTGGAGTAATAGCTTATCCGGGATTGATTCGGACTACGGCGGGAAGGCCCTTCGCTTCTTATTATACTAGAAGGAATTGAGTTATTCCCGTAATTACATAATGAAGAATAAAAGGTATTTAAGGTAATAAACAAACCAGCAAAAGTTGCCGAGGGAAAACCATTAAACTCATTAACTTAAGACTCCTGGTTTAATCGCCGGCCACACCATCCGGGAAATTCAATAAAACCAAAACTAAATAAACCTGGAAATAATTACGTAAAAAGACAATAGTACTCTCCACACGTAAACGAGTCCACTTCCCCCGCCCCGATTCCGAAAATTAAACTCCACGCCACACCCACTTCCATCCTCGTCGTCTCGTCGTCGTTATGCAGGTAACTGGCGTCTGCGTTGTGGAATGGATGAATCGTTCTGTCTTAAATCTAGACGACAAATTAAATACAATTATTAACAAAAAGTATAAAACAAATACAAACGACCTTTATGTGGAACTTTCGGTTGGCTTTGCAGTCACCCAAAACACTTACTCTCAGACTGTGACGAAGGGTCGCGGGTTCGAGGATTTTTTGTTGTTTTTTTTTTTTATTACACCGGGTTCTTGTTATTAAAAAACTCCACTTTCCAAGTTCTTTGTTTGAAAACCCCTAAAAACCGGTATGACAAATAACTTGAAAATAGGAACCAAATGTTTTACTTTGGAGAAGTTTTCAAGATTTTTGAAAAAAATTGATCAAATTTGCAAAAAATAAAAAACAAATAAAAAACTTACAACATAAACTCAAAATTGAACAAACAAATTTGACTTTTTTTCTTTAAAATTTGTTAAACAGGTGTGCCCCCTTTTGGAAAAGTCAAAACCGAAATTATCTGTACCAAAACTGAACAAAACAAAAATGTTTCTCCCTGAAACCAAAAATCTAAATAAATATACAAAAAACAACAACCAAAAGGACCCAAAACCTAAAAAATTTTACTTTAATTGACCTTTTAATTGGAACCAACAAAAACAAAAAGAAAACCAACACCAAACACAAAAAAACCAAACCCAAAACACACAAAAAACACAAACACAACCAACCACACACCAACAAAACACCACACACCACAACAAAAAACCAAACACAAACCAAAAACAACACCCAACAACACAAACAACAAAACCAAAAACCCAATTTTTCCTCTCTTTTTTGAGACCGGGGGTGAGGGGTTTGTTGGAAATTTAAAAATTCACCAACCGGACAAAATTAAACCGGGGAAGATTTTCGTTGTTAGGTTGAATACTGAATAAGGTAATTTGAATCAATAATTTTAAAACATGTAAAAATTAAATGTCTTCCTCCAAAGGGTCTAAGACGGACCGTTTCGGCGTTGTCCAACCCGTAATATCAGGCCCTTTTTTTTGGTGTTGGAGGTCGAAAACGGATGTGGTCAGTGTCTATTGAACCGGAAAGTCCGGGGGGAAAGTGGGACGGTAGGTAACGGTAGACTGAACTGTGCCGTGAGTTAACGGGAGATAAACTCCGGTGGACGAGCAGCACTGCAGCGGTCGGTAAATGCCGCTGAACCATGTAAGGGAAACTTCTGTGTAGCAATGCAGTGGGATTCACCGACTCAGGAAGGAGACACGGGAAGAGCAGGAGCTTTGATGTCAAACACTGATGGTTTATTTGGAGCTTCGGCCGGATGATTCACATCACAAGTCACAGCAGTCACGGTCTGACCGCACGGGAGAGTTGCCACGTCAATTCTGAAGAACTCTACCCCAGACCCATGTATTTAGCCAGTTCAGAGAGAATAATCAACATGCTGCATAACAAGATAGAATCATAACACCTCTATCAGCTGACGCCAACAGGCAGGAACATAGAACCATAACACCTCTATCAGCTGACGCCAACAGGCAGGAACAGGGAGACAGAACACTGAGAGCACAGCAGCCAAGGTTACAGGTGCGTGTGCTCAATCAGGACAGTTTGAACTGATTAACTGGGTCAAAGTTATGGGCCTTGGAAAATATTTCCCCAACAAACCACATTATTAAACAATGAACCACAGCACTCTGGAGAAAAGTACAAGGGTTGAGAAGTAGTCATTTAATTTAATCTGGCTTCGTATGATTAAATGCAACACGATCATCGACCCGATGCAGTCCCCCATTGTTGTTGTTGTTGTGAGCGGCGTTTGGGAGAAACGTAAACCTACGTAAACGGTGACGTCATGACGCAGCAGCGGCAGCACCAGTCGGGCTCTGAGCGGTGGAAACACAAGTGGAGCTACAGAGAAGAACCAGTTAAGCACCAGAAAAGCACAAGAACGGATCTTGAACCGGAGCCGGTTTTGTGGAAAAGGGGCATAATGTGCCCTCTCAACATACATCCTCAAGTAGAGACAAAAAGACAAGAGCTCCAGCAAAACTGTTGCCTGTGGCTCCATCTGCTGACCATTGGTGTTTCCTGTACGACCTCAGTGTGTTTATGTGTGTGCGTGTTGGTGTCTCTAGATGCGTGTGGGCTGTGTGTGCATAATGCCTTCACACACATGTGTTGCAGCTTTTTTGGCCAACGTCTTCTTATGTTCTGACCTCATATGGTTCCATGTGATGTGCCTCAATTTCATAATAGTCCACAATGACCCTTTCAGTCACCATGACATCATGGCCTGAGTTTGCTTTGGTCACCATGGCAATTTCCCTTAACTCTACAGTAGAAAGCCTTCTGGAGCAGAGAGAGGTGCTCTGATCCACAGGCATGGACTGACAGTGTTCAGTGTGAACCTGGAATAAAATGCATATCTTTCAACTGAATTTGCATTAAATACTAAATAGTTGGGAGCAGATCGTTTTAATGTATAATAAACAAATTAAATTAATTAAATTCAAGGCACATTGGATTTAAACTGCTACAGAACAGACAGCCGACAGTGTAAGATGTTTCATGAACTAGTGGAAAAATGATCTCCAACACTCAAAGTGATTTCTTTCAGTTCCCACTCTCCCTAACTAGTTAGCCTGTTGTAATACTTTCAGATCTGACGCACAGCCACTTCACACAAGCATGCCAACTGCCTGGATACCTGGTTGCTATGGCAACATTGTGGCGCCCACACAGATCTCCATCCTCTCATGACTTTAGTCGCCATGGTCACCTCCCTAATGGGAGCTGGAGAAAGGTGGACTGATGAAGGAGGCAAAGAGAGGAGGACCAAGTCATATGATGACATATGAGAGTTCTGACACACAGCTGTTCATATTACTGCTGCTGGACTCCTCACACAGCTGTTCGTATTACTGCTGCTGGACTCCACACACAGCTGTTCATATTACTGCTGCTGTACTCCTCACACAGCTGTTCATATTACTGCTGCTGGACTCCACACACAGCTGTTCATATTACTGCTGCTGGACTCCTCCGAATGCTGAAGGCTCGGGGAGTGGGCGTTCATGGTCCACAGCTGCCGGATAGTTGTTCCTCTCTCTCCCCCCGCCTACACCAACTCTCAGACATCCTCCAACCCTGTTGCTTGCTCTCAGTCTCTCAACTTATTAATCACTTATGGGCACTCACTATGGTTGCATAAAGTTGACTTCATATATCTGATTGGGCACTGACAGACTTAAATATCTAGCTTACCAATGCCCATGACAGTCCATACTACTGGAGGGTTTTTGGTGCAGCACAGCAACAAGTGACTTGCAGTCTTATCATTATCCAACATGTCATCACAATATGATGTTTTGATTGATCTCTGCTCTGATAGATTGAGGGACAGTTTAGCCTAATATGACGCCACCCCTCACCTGCAACTGTCCCTGACACAGTTTAAGGGTCTGCTCACACACCTGGACATTTTCTACACAAAACAATAGCTCACTGTTTACTTGCATTTATATTCGATGGAACCGTTCACCTGCTTTAATGAAGCCAGCTCTACTCTTGGTTCATGGTTGCTATAAAAAATATGAGATGCTTGCTTAATCCATCAATGTCAAGATTTGTGCCAAAGCTTTTTATAAGTAGGGTGTACATGAATGGCAGGGAATGTGTTTTTTTACTGCATTAATTGACTGTTGATTGAACAACAAATCAAATGGCAAAAGAACAGTTATATAGGCCTGTTTGAACTGAGCCTGTTGTTCCCACCTCTCAGCTGTAAGAGGCTAAACCACCATTAAAGGTTAATTTAGCTCCAAGACCTGTTAAGGACCTGTTAAGGATCTGCAGCTAGCAAGAGGTATGAAAAGGTAAATGATTTGAAAAATATGAATAAATGACTCTCTGTCTGCAGTGGAGGGGATGAAGGTGGTGGAGATTGAGAAATGTCGCAACGACATTAAGAAGCTCCGTGAGGAGATGGCATCAAGAAACAACAGGTGACAGCAACACGTTGAGCAATCACTGAATACACCTGCTTTCATGCGAATAAACACAAAGCTAGTCTTGCTGCTGTCTTATTAACACAGCGATAAAATGTCCTGGGACAGACAGCTGATAACTGCTTGCTTATTTTTTTTTTTTAAGAAAATGCCATGCCACTCAGCCTTTGATTCAACATGCTAAGTTGTCCGAAAACCCGCCGAAGGTGCTAAGTAGTGCTGTCAGGGCCTTAAGAGAGAAAGGACGCATGTGATTGGGTGAAAGATGAGCAGGCATGACAACACCATTGTCCTGAAAAGTGACATTAGAAAATAAGAAAGTGGCATGAAAAATTGTCAATTGAAAAATGCCATTAGGAAATAAATAAATAAATGTTGAAAATAAAGGACATTTGATTTTTTATTATCAAAAAGGAACATATTCAATTGGTAAAGCACTACTTACTGACACTGGCAGTTCTAGGATAAGAGTAAGTACATGTACCAGTAGAATAAATGTTAATAACGTGTAAAATGTCATATGTATTTTTGATACGTAATTTTGAATTTGCAGTATTGATGTAATGATATTTCTTTGTTGCTTCATGCTGTTCCCTAATCTATTTTCCAGTAACTTCCTGGAAGGCAACAAGAAGCTGACTCCACGCAGAGACGTGCCCTCCTACCCAAAAGTAAGTCTGCACACTGCCCTCCTGCTTCACTTCCTGTTAGCCAGCTGAGTCTGCCGATGGTAGCTCAGGTCTACTCAGTAATAAAACAGGTCCGATGTCCTGCGGGTTTTCGGACAACTTAGCATGTTGCATCAAAGGCTGAGTGGCATAGGAGTCTTTTGTTTAAAAAACAAAAAGCAAGCAGTTATCCGTATCAGCTGTCTGTCCCAGGACATTTTATCGCTGTGTTAATAAGACAGCAGCGAGACTAGCTCTGTGTTTATTCTCATGAAAGCAGGTGTATTCAGTGATTGCTCAACGTGTTGTTGTTTCTTGATCATTATCATTATTTCTTTATTTTTCAAACCATTTACCTTCTCATACCTCTTGCTAGCTGCAAACATACAGTAGCCCAGATCATTAGGTCTTGGAGCGAAATTGAACTTATCCTCAGTGAAAATATCATGGGGTTAGGGAAAGATGTGAGGGATAGATCATCAGGACTTAATGTTTGCTTTCATCAGTAAAAGTTTGCCCAGTGAGATAATAAAGTTCCTTTCCTATCATCTAAAGAATTTAAACAGCTGTTATCTGTGATACTCCTGTGTCATTTCACTCAGTTAGGAACCTTCCTGAGAGAAAAGACTGTTCAACCACAACCCAGTGTCTACATATAGTTGAGATCTAACGGTTTTAAAAAAAACAATTGACCTAATTTACAGTTGTTGATTGATCAGGTTCAGTCCATGCCTTTTACCACACATAAGTCTTTGCAGAACAAAAATACACTGAGCAAGTATCATAATGTCATGTTTACTTCACAACACTTCACAGGACACATCAGTGAATGCAGTGAACGTTGCACACAGTCTAGTTTCACTTTAGAATCAGCTCACCTGTTAACAGCTGAATGGCTGCTAGTGCGGTGGAGTACAACCATTCTGCAAGAGTTAGTGATGATACAGTAACATGTTGGGAAGGCTGGTAGTTTTATACATTACAGCAGGTGTGTGTAGAGGCGGTGCAGACAGGGTTAACTGCAGCTCTGTTGCTTGCAGTACATGCTGTCACAACAGACCATAGACGCCCTCAAAAAACCCGCCTTTGACATGTGGCTATGGGAGGCCAACGAGGTAAGACTGACCATTTTTCTGAACCCGTCTCACCTATAATTCCCCTCTCTCCTCCCTCCCCCTTCCCCTCCCCTCCTCTCCATGTTCCCCCTGTTTGTCCTGCTGCCCTTTGTGTGTGTGTGTGTGTGTGTGTGTGTGTGTGTGTGTGTGTGTGTGTGTGTGTGTGTGTGTGTGTGTGTGTGTGTGTGTGTGTGTGTGTATAGGAGTCACTTTTTATAGTACCCCAATACCTTTCACCTCCCTATCTATGTAGTCCTGAATACAAACGAAGTAGTCATTTTCAAAACGGGTCAACTCTAATGTATTCCAGGAAAGGATAGTAGATTTCTTATTTGTCGACACTAGACACTATGAGACACAGTAAGTGGGCAATCCTTTGGAAGGACTCTCTTTTCTGGACAAGTTGGGTGTTGGGTCACAGATGTATATCAACTCTAGATTGCCAATTTTTTTTGTTAACTGGCATTAAATGTCAACCAACTAACTAGTCCAGTCAGGTACGGAATAAAATGGTGTGTATTCAGAAACGTTCTGTTTTTATAGTGCCTCGTTCATAGTATTACAGACCAATGAGTGTTGTGTAAGTGTCCTGTGTAGTCAACCTTACGTCACTTTGCAACGGTGTCAGGATTCAAGTGATCTTGTAGTCGAGTGGACAATTGTCGCTTACCGACGACACGCCTCATGTTGGTAAGACGTTTCTCAATCACTCTATGCTCATTGTACAACCCTTCCGACCATCAAATTTATGTCATGTCGTCCACACACATCCCGCCACGTTCTGTCCCATCTGACGTGAGACAACAGACCGTCATGTACGACAGTGTTGTCTGGTATCTGCGGGAGTTTTTTGGGCGGTAAACTGGTACCCGATACCTCCGGTTGCTCCAATTCTGACTGGTAAAAGACTTGGGCAGAGTGATATTACAGGAGAGAGGGAGGATCGAAGGGGAGGAGGTACAAGGGGGGACAAACAGGACGACGGAAACCCACCACACACAACCCACACCCACACACCCACACACCACACCACACACCACCCCACACCACACCACACACACACACACACACACACCCCACCACACACACACACAACACACACACACACCACACACACCACAACCACACCACCCACACACACATCATCGCGTAGACAGATTCCTCTGTCATCTTGGATTCTTACCGAGTGTAAGTACGAACCCGTTCCCCTCGGATTACCCACTGCTACGTACGGGACTATTGGTGTCGAGTATTACGAAGTAGTTTCTCGCCAATTATTAGCAAGTAATATTGCTAATTCTTGCTGGTTTACCCATTTTAGGAAATTTACTGTACACTATTACAAATTATAACGTACAGGTCATTCCCAGTCTTCATAACGAATCTCATCGCTTTTTCACAAGACTCCCGGGGACGGAGAGAGCGTTACCCGTCCGACAGACTCCCCCACAAATCTATCGATTGAATCAATCATCTTTAACTAGACGTCACTCAGAGTTGCCAACCAGGGGTATTAATTCCTGTGTTACAAGGTTCCGTGTGGGAAATTATTATATATCAAAGTTTTTATTGTCTTATTACTTCTGTCGATCTCAGGAGCGGTTAAGTATGCCAACTTGTCATGTTGTTTTTCTCGTCACCTTTCCATCACTAATCATTTATACGTACTTTTTTTCTTTTTTCACTTTATTCCTTCTTTGTAAATTTCTGAACAACTCTCGATTTTGATGCGAAGTTCAATTTGATGTACATTTATTTACCTATATCTGAAAATCTTGAGTATACGCAATTTACTTTTGACGTAGTAAGGATTTCCGTCGTTGGGTCGTGTAGACTTTTGTTATACACAATACATTTGTTTTCATTTTCTTCGACACAGGTGGTACAGCTTACGTCGTGTCTCGCACAGTGGCGTCGCAGGGAAAAGTAACATCCGATCTTACGCGTCGGACAGACCTCGGTGGTACATGGTTACTGGCCCGGGACCCCGCTCTGAGTTGTAGTGGGGTGTGAGAGTTCTCTACCGACACTCTTTGTAGGCGTGTGGTTGGGACTTCGTTATGGAGATTTATGTAAAAAAAAAAAAAAAAAAAAAAAAAAAAAAAAAAAAAAAAAAGGAGAGGTCCGAGTTTCCAGAGTGGAGGACAGAACAGACGACCAGACGGAACAGACGCCAGACAGACAGACAGGACAGGACAGCAGACCGGACAGATTGCGGGACGGACAGGACAGAAGACAGATTGACGGACGGACGACTAGACAGACAGATTGACGGACGTACAGCAGAAGACAGACAGACGGACCGGACCAGACAGACGAGACAGATTGACGGTACGGGACGGACAGCAGACAGGACAGTACAGTTGACCGGACGTACAGACAGAAGACAGAAGACAGACGGACGAACAGCAGACAGACAGTACAGAAAGATTGACGGGACGTACAGCCAGGACAGACAGCGGACGACAGACGGACAGATTGCCGCGCGTACAGGAGAGCCAGACGGACGGTACAGACGTACAGACGCAGCGGACGTACAGCAGGACAGGACAGACGGACGGCGGGACGCAGGACGGGACGATAAAAAGAAGGCAGACAGACAGACGATGGACGGGACGGACGACAGACAGACGGACGGACGGACGACGGACAGCAGCAGACGAAGACGGACAACAGGACAGACGGACAGGGATAGACAGCGGACAGAGAGAGACCCAGAGAGACAGACGGACGGACGGACAGACAGGACAGACGGGACAGGAGCAACAGAAGACAGACGACGGACCAGCAGAAAGACCTTACGGACAGGAGGAGAGAGAGACAGAGGAGACAGGACGGGACGCGGACTAACAGACGACTCGGCAGCAGACAGGACAGGAGGAGACAGAGAGACGGACGACGACAGACAGACAGACGAGGACAGACAGACAGGACGAGGACTTGACAGCAGAGAGGACAGACAGACAGACGGGACGCAGACGGGACCGGACAGACAGATCAGACGGACAGAGAGAGAGAGAGACAGAGAGACAGGACGGGACGGACGGACCTAACAGACAGACAGCAGAGAGAGGACAGGAGAGACGGACGGACGGACAGGCAGGGGGCAGAGAGACAGGATTAGGGACAGTACAGCAGGACAGGACAGGACGGACGGACGAGACAGACAGACGAGACCGGACGGCAGACGACCGGACAGACAGCAGAGTAGAGAGAGGACGGCGGACGTACCAGGCGACAGGACGGACGGGACAGACAGACAGGACAGCGACAGCAGCAGATAGATGGACCGGACCGGACGACAGACAGCTGCAGGAGAGAGAGAGAGAGAAGAGAGGAGAAGGAGAGAGAGGAGCGGAGACAGCAGACAGACAGAGAGAGACAGGGAGGAGAGGCACAGCAGACAGACGAGACGAGGAGACAGAGAGACAGATTGCGACAGGACAGACAGATAGAGAGAGAGGACAGACGAAAGACAGGAAAGCAGAGAGGAGAGACAGAGGTAGGGACAGACCGCGACAGACAGACAACGCACAGACAGGCAGACGACAGACAGACAGACAGATGAGAGAGAGGAGACAGATAGAGGGCAGACAGCACAGACGAGAGACGAGAGAGAGAGAGAGAGAGAGAGAGAGGGAGAGACAGAGAGGCAGACGCAGCTACACAGGCAGCAGACATCGAAACATAGTACTGGTTTGATCGTCCCGTTGGCGGAGGTGTTGAGGCGGTGACAAACGACACACTCTGGGGCGGGTTACTTCAAATGTCTACTGACCGGAGGACGTCGGACGTCCACTTCGTCCGTACGACTTTGCCTTGGACTAAGACTTCGTTTTCCAGTTTGCGTGGGTTTTTCCTCTAGTACCCTCTTTCTTACTTCCTGCTTAGACTTTTCCCTAGTGTTTGTGTAACAACATGTCAGAAATAAATATGTTATGTCACTGCGTCTCTTATTGTCAAACCACACCGCAAGTAAAAAAATCCTCTCCAAATGAGTCCAGCTCAAACTAAGATACTGTCGACGCACAGTACAGGCTAGTTGGGGCCCAGTTGTTGTGCATTNTAATCTCCTCATTGTCCTAAAAGGGGCATTCTTGTTGCAGCAAGGCTTAGAATCCATAACGCACAAGCCCCCTACCTCACAGACCTGCTGCACCACCACACCCCTGTGGTGGTGCAGCAGGTCTGTGAGGTAGGGGGCTTGTGCGTTATGGATTCTAAGCCTTGCTGCAACAAGAATGCCCCTTTTAGGACAATGAGGAGATTACTGAACTTGGCCCCCCACTTCGTTTATGTAACGGAGTTATCCACATTAGAATGCTGATGATTTGGCAGAAGCCTGACCTTTTTTTAATCCAAGCTTGCAAAATGTATGTCTGGATAGTTCTTCAAAGCAAAAAGGCCTTGAATAAATATGCAGTTCTTACTGAAAGGACTGTGAATCACATGAATGAATTGAAATATAAGCAGTTTTTATGAATAAATAATGACTGCTGAAATAAAAATGGTTCTATTTTTATGAATACAAGTACCTCACATTACTAACACACCTACAAAATACCGTGCCTAACCCACCTCACACCTTGGGCAACTCTAGAGAAGAATAGAGTCCAACCCCTATCAAGAAGTAAGGTTCCAGAGCCAACACTGTGCGTAGAGGTGAGCCTCACCAGGGGCCTCATTTATAAATTGATATACGCTAAAAAAATGGCGTACACCAGTTTCTACGCAATGTTTGCGATTTATAAAATACTAACTTGACGGGAAAATGTGCGGCCCTCCACGCAAACTCTAACCC